AAGTATTAATTTTTTATTTTTCTATTTAACTAATAATATTATAATATTACTTTTCTTTTAAAATATTCTTATAATTCTTAAGCTATATTCTCCAGATTACTTAATAGTTTCTATATATTATTTACTAATAAATAACTTCTCTAATAAATAAGATATTTCTTCTTTTTTTACTTTTTTTATATATTATAATAGATTTTATTTTAAATTTCTCTTTATTTTTAATCTTAACTAGTTCTAATTCTATTATAGTACTAGCTTATAAATATTATAGATTTAATATAATAGTAATAATTTCAAGTAATATATTTATTTCTATATTTCTATAACTTAAAATTTTAAAAAAACTAAAATATTTATTTATTAGCTTTATACTAGATTATAACTATTAAATATTCTTTATATATTAAAGTTTTTATTAATATATTTTTTATTAATATATTTATTACTTCTTATTATTACTTTTTATTAGTTTACTAGTAATATATAATACTATTATATAATTATAGAAATACTATTATATTAAAGTTAGTAAAGTTATTTTTTAGAAATAGGAATTATAATATTATAATATTAATATATAATTTCTAAATCTACTAAGCCTAAAAAAGTCTAATTTACTAGTCAAGTTACTAATAAGATATAAGGTTATATAACTATATCCTATATCTTATATTCTATTATTTATATCTTATTACTTATATCTTATATTCTATTATTTATATCTTATTACTTATATCCCGTATTCTATATCCTATAATTATATATATAACTTCTAAAGAAATAGCTATATTAATATTAGAAACTCTCTAAAATATATAAAAAATAATATTTCTTTCTAATTATATATAAATTCCCTAATCTAATCTAGTACCAGATTTTTTTAAATACTTTATATATTTATATTACTTTTAAGGTTTTAGTTATATACTAAAAGCTATAGTCTTTTATATATAACTTCTCTTCTTATAATATTCTTTTATTTCATATATTTATTTTTTATTTTATTTATATTTAATTTATTTCTCTATATCTAATTATATAGTATTTATATTAATTAGATACTTAAAAGTATTTATTAGCTTTAATTTTATTATAGAATTAGTAAGATTTAATTTTCTTTTAATCTATTTAACTTTTATAATCTTTTATTATTTATATATCTAATAAAGATATATTATATTAATTATTAGATATTTTTCTCGAGTAGTTCCCAATTTAATAAGGCATTTATATAATAACTTCGAATTTATATAAATTACTAGTAATAGTTCTATTTCTAGTATTTTATTAATTATAGATTTAACTAAAGCACTTATATTAAAACTATAAGCTATATTATAGAATTTCGAAGCTAGAATACTTCTAGTAACTCTCTTATATTTAATAGAGAACTAGTAAATAATATTAGTATATCTAGTTCTATTTACTAGAACTAGAATATATCTAATTTAGGAAAAGAAATCTTTATTATTTATAAATAAAGTATTTATAAAAATAATTAAATATAAGGATTTCTTTACTAGCTTTATAAATCTTAGTTCTCTGGCAATATTCTTAATTTACTATTAAATATATTTATTAAATACTTTTATATTAATTTCCGAAGATTTAATAGCTTAAATAGTAATTAATAGGTTATATAAAGCTTTTAGTTAATAGACTAATATAATATATACTTCTTTAATATATTAAATAATATATTAGTTTTTAATAAAAAGATCTTAATAAATAATATTTTTTATAGAAATAGTTTAGAGGTTTTTATACTAGTATTTATATATAAGAATAATTCTAGTAGTATTTATATAAATAATATCTCTATTAAATTTGAAATTATAATTAGAAATAAGATATTTATATTTCTTAGCTAAGAATTTAGTCTTATAAAGCTTTAGTTATTTTACTTTTATAAAATTATTAGTTCTAATAAATAAGGTATTATTAGTTTAAAGACTAATAATTCTAAAGAATTACTTATTATAGAAAAGACAGAATTATAAGTTAATTATTCTATAAAAAACTTATTAATATAATAGAAATAATAAGTTTCAAACTAGTAATTTCTAGCTTCCGGTATATTATATAGTAGTTTTATAACTTTTAGAACCGAATTATTATTTAGATTTGGCTCTCTAGTAAGCTTATAAAATAAGTTAATATAAAAATTATAATTAAATAAAATTATTAATTAGATATAAACTTATAAGATATTATATAAATATAGTTCTATAATATTTATTATTATAATAGTAATACTAAAAATAATTCTCTAGCTAATATATTAAATAGTAAGTAATTATATTAATATTATATATTTCTTACTATTATTATAAGTTTAAATAACTAATCTTAATTTCTTAAACTCTTTCTCTATATTCTTATTTTTAATATTATTAATAACCCGGGAATTAAAGATATATATCTTTTTTAATACCTGAAATCTGAAAGTAATCTCAAATATATTTTTTTCTAAAAGACTAGTAATTTTAACTTAATAAAAGTTCTTATATAAGTTATTATTTTATAGAAATATTATAATATCCGGGTTTTTATAAGAGTATTCTCTATTATATTTTAGTAAAATAGCAGAAATAGTAAAAGAAATTATATCTGTATTACTTTTAGCTTTATTATAGAATTCGGGAATAGATTTAGATTCAGAGCTATTAATAATAACTTTAATATCTCTTATATAAAAGAGCTTTATAGAAATTAAATAAAATATAATATTACTATATAATAGAGCTAGTATATAGTTCTTTCTATTAATAGCTACTAGCTTATATAATCTATTTTAATTATTAGATTAACTAGTATTTCCTTTATATTAAATAAAAATATTCGAATTTAGAAATAGTTTATAAATATTAGTAATACTAGAACTATTTCGGATATTTAAAGTATTTATAATTTGATATTTAGCTTAAAGCTTCTAAATTTCTATTATTACTTTTTTAAGTATTACTAATTACTATAATATAATAAGTAATAGGATATTATATTTAGTTATTTAAAATAAAGTACTATAAATTAAAAGAGTTAAAATAATACTATTAGATTTAGTAGAATTATTAATGGCTTTAAAAGCTATTTAAAATATAGTATCCTTATTAATTCTATTAATTTTGGTTATAATAATAAAATAAATATATTAAATCGGGCTATAATAGTATTCTATAATTCTAATAGAATTATAAGCTTCTATAGAAATAATTTTAACTTTAGTTCCTATAGTATTTATAAGCTAAGTAAACTTCTTACTAATAAACTATTTTCTAGTATTTACTATAATCTAATTAGAAAAGCCTAAATAGGTATTAATTTAATACTATTTTAGAATATCCCAAATATATAATATACTAATATTTTAAAGCTATTAGCCGGCTTAATATCAAGTGCCTTTATTAATAATATAAAGTATAGACTTATCGGAAATATAGAAAATATTAATAATAATAGAATAGTTAAGGCTAATATTATTTTTTAGATTAAACTTGAATTATTCTAGTAATTATTTGAATTTCTAATATTATTTATAATATTTTATAAAGTATTTAAGGGCTTCTATATTAATATTATAGCCTGTTTATTCTAGTATATTTCGGAGCTTACTAATAGATAAATAACTAAAATAGTAATATAGATATTATAATTTAATCTTTATAAGAAAGCAGGAATTATAAATAAAGAATTCGGAAATAATAGCCGGTGCCCCTCCCACGCGCTTTGCTTGTGGTCGGGATAAGCAAGTGTCTCGTTTAACCAAGTATTCCATCGAGATTTTAGCCGATTCTTGATTTTTGGTACGTATTGCATACAAAATCAAGCATATTTGTAATGGAATTTAAGGATACTAGTTATAAAAAATACAAAGCTACCTAGAACTATATAAAATCGGCATTCGCTTGTATACTGTCAATTGAGCCCGCATTACTCTCCATATCTGAAGAGTCTGGAATAATAAGGGGGGGTGGACTTGAGTCTATATACTCTCCTACCCTCTCCTTTTAATGCTTCCGTTTAGTAGTATTAATTACTATATCCTTATCCCCGTCAATATTAATAAAGGTATTTGGTGCCTCTAGCTAATCGGGGGCTAGATTACTGAGGGATGCCGTAAGCTGGCGAACCACGAGCTATAAATCAGGGTAAAAGTCCTCCTTATAGCGAGCTCGTTCGATAATCGTAAGGTATTTATCAGGTTCGCGAATTGGTGCCATATCCTCCACTGGAATTAGCACATCCTTTAGTTAATATTCCACGATTCTAGCTAGTCTAGCTTTCTTATCCTTGCGAGCTTGAATCCCGGCGTCCTTGAGCTAATTTTTAGCTCGATTTACGGCAGTGGCGAGCTTCTTTTTAGCCTTGCAAAGAGCTTCTCCATTATCTTTCTCCTTCTTCTCTTTAATCTCCATACGAAGCTCTGCTATACTAGCAGATAGCCCTCCCTTATGTGAGCTTTTACGGGACTTCGCCTTGCGATTATACTCCTCACGAAGCTTTATTTGGAGAGCCTGGTGCTCTATTGTCTGGAGATGACTTTTTTGCAGTTGGATATTGACCTTTTTAACTATAGCTATCCAAGTTTCCTTCGAATTTTCTGAAAAAGTAGTAGGATCGCGATCTGCAAGTACCCTAAGGATTACGGCTATATTCCACACTTTATCAGGGCAAGTAGGTAATAAAGGGGGAAGATCTAAGCTCTCCTCTTCCTTAATCTCCTCAATTAATCTCTTCTTCTTTCCGTATGATCGCATCTTTTTAATTCCAGCTTTATAACTAACGGGCCATATACCAGAGCTCTTAAAGGCATTCTTAATTATATACTTTTATATTATTTGCATACGAATTAGAGTAAGATCACGGAAAAAGGAGGTAATTATATATTTAAAATCAAGGGAACGGAGGGCCGCATAAATCGCCATTTTATAATAGTGCTTCCAGGGGCGGAATATACTAATGTTAAGTGGTTAAAGGACGTATATTAAGTGAGAGGGAAACTAGAATAGCTTAATATTGTGTTTCCCGGCCTTTAATTGAAATGGTTTATAGACGTGCGATTCGTAACTATCTAGGAGAAGGATTTTCCAAGATTTGTCTAGCCCAGCTCTTGAATACTTAATTAAATAATCGAGGTATTTTATAGCTACGTTATTATTTATATATCCGGTAGGCATATACTTAATATGCTCTGTCCCGATTAGGTTTTCTAATACCTAATTATCCATAATCTTCTTCCCAGGAGTAATTACAAATAGCGGAAGAGATTTATAACTATTCGCATGAATAGTCTCGATTATCGTAACTGATTTGCGATTCTCAGGGCTAGCCATATATAGCTCTTTTACCTCTATAGGTATAATTACGTACTCACTAGTAGGGTAACTAATACGTGCTCCTGACTCGTCCATATTTAGAATATTCTTTTCCTTTATAATATAAAGCTCCTCTAGGATATTGTAATATTTCTGAAACTATATTCTAATATCCTCTTCTATATAGGACTCGAGTCATACGTATATAATTGGCTTCGTTTTAATCATATAAAGTATCTTGTGGTTCCGTATCCAGAGGCTAAACCAAGTAGCTAAAGGGGGTGGTTTTGGGGGAGATTTAGCCTAATTATGTTAGATATATTATTAGATTTAAAAGAAGCACTTATAGCCTTTAAGTGGGCAATTACGGCTTGAACTATCTAATATGTAGTACCCAAACCAGCCTCCTATTACTCGTAGTAATATTGCCAAATCGCCTCCTCCTATGCCTCGTTCAGGATCTTATTATTGCCACCATGCGTATTATAGAGTCCTTGGGAGTTCCTCTTCTTATTATGCTCGCGGAGTACCGATTTTCGCAAAGAAGCTTCCTTAACATAATATATCCTCGCAGTAATAATTACTAAATTATCGTTATTCTCAAGGCACTATTCGCGGGCCTTATTAAAGATACGGTAGTAATCAGCTTCCGTAGCATGTGGATAATAGAAATACTTCTAGGATATCTCCCTAATCCTGGTAGAATTAAATAAAGGTATACTCATTTTTGGAATCTTTGCACGTGAATTGAATAATGAATTAGTTAATAAGTTGGGCCAAACGCGCAATTACAAGACGCGTTTTTTGGTGAGGATTACACGTAAATTTTAGGGCGCGCATTTTCTCGATAGGATACTTGGTTAAACGAGACACTTGCTTATCCCGACCACAAGCAAAGCGCGTGAGAGGGGCACCGGCTATTAAAGCTTTATAAAATAATATTTTAAAACAGGAAAAAGTATTTAAAATATTATATTATAGATATAAAGCATCTATTAGAAATAATAAAATAATTAGTAAGATTATTAAAATAGACTTCTAGCTTATTTATATTAACTAAGCTAAATAGAAATAGAGTCTATATAAATATAATATAGAATTATATTTATCTAATTAGTATTTTTATTATTATAAATCTAATAGAGGATATAGATCTAATACTAAACTAAATATTAACTTAATCTTTAGTAGTTTTATTAAGTTTAATATTATTATTAGTTTACTATAAAGCTTGGAATTAGTTAGAACTAGTAATTAAGAATCTAAAGGCTCTAGTATTAATTATAACTCTATAAAAGTAATAAGTATTATATCTTAATATATTATTAATTATAAATATCTGAATATTTTATATTTATTTAGTAAACTTTAAAATATAGTTTTTGCCTATTATCTAGTATATAAAAAAAAGAGAAATAAAGTTATTTATAAGAGTATTAGTTATAGAAATAGCAGAAATAGAAGCTATAAAAGTAGCTAGAAAGCTTTTAATAAAAATAAAGTAGAAATTAGAATAATATTTCTTTCTTTTATTTATTTCTACTAATAAGGCTTTAAAAGTATTATTTACTAGTTTATTCTTATTATTCTTACTATTTTTTTCTTTTTTAAATTCAGTAATATACTATATATAAATATTACTAAAATATTTATTAAAATTATAAGTATTTCGAAATCTAAATTAATAAATATTTCTACTCTTAAATTAAGCTTTTTTAGCTTTTTATTTCTCTAATATATATTTCTATAAATAGTATTCGGGTTTCTTATATATAAAATATAATTTCGAGATATAATTATTATAATTATAAAACTTAAAGTAGTTATTACAGGTTTCGAAGTTATAGCTAGATTTGTATTAATAATTTCCAGATAAATAATAGTTTAAAAGATTTTAAGAATAGTATTATTAATTAGTAAAGAGAATCTAGGTATTAATCTATTATTTCTTTTTATAAGTAGTAATAGATAATTAGAGCTTATTAATAAGCTAACTGAGATTATTAGAAGAATTCGAGACTATATATTAGTATACTAGTAAGCCTTAATAAAAGATAATAATTTTATTATATAGGAATTTAATAGTTTATAAGACAGAAATAAAACTATATTATAATTTATATAAGTTATTAATTAGTAATTAGATAAGCTCGAATATTGTCTTTTTAGAGTCTTTTATTATTATAGTTACTAAAGTAATAGTATTCTATTTATCTAAATTTTAATAATAGTAACTAGAGCCTTTAAAAAAATTATAAATATTTATATAAGCTTCTTTATATATATATTAAGAGAGCTAGTTATTATAGAAGTAGTTTTATACTAGTTCCTTTAATATAATAGGAAAAGCTCTTATTAATATCTTTTCTAGAAGCTCTATATATTAGTAGATATTAAGGAAAATAGTAAGTTTTTAGTTAAAACTATTATTAGTTCTATTATATTTCTATATCTTAGTATATATCTTTATTACTTCTCTAATTAGCTTTATAATAAAAGGGCTAGCTAAAGGGCTATTTAGAAATAATAGAAGTAGTAGAAGTAGTAGAAATCCGTTACTACTAGCTTTTTATAATCCGGTATTAGCAGAAGTAATTATAGATAGTAAAGAAATATAAGTAATAATTAGTTTAGTTTATTAATTTCTTATAATACTATTATTAAGAAATATATATAATAAAGTAATAGAGCCTATATTAAAGTCTAGTCTAATAGTAATAATATTAGCTATAGTTTAGATATATTACTCTTTTTCCTAAATAGTATTAACTAAAAACTATATAATAGTAAGTTCCTTATTATTTTATTTAATATAAATACTACTATATTATAAAGTAGCTTGTAATTTATATAATATATATTAATCTAGATAATTAAATACTTTAAGGTCGAAATTACTAAAATTCTCCTTAAATAATTTCTAGAAATAGTTATTAGTTAACTTTTCTATCTTATACTAGAATAGTCTAATATTGAGGTAATTCAGGACTTCCTTATTACTATAGGTAATTAGATTAATACTATTTTTTTACTTTTTTATCTATATATATCTATCCTATAATTCCGCTATATTAAATCTCTAGGGCTAAGCCCTTCTTAATATATATGTAATTTGTAGTAAGAGAGGTTTAAAGATAAGATAATTTATAGAAAGGGTTTAGTAATAAAGATATCTAGATACCTGATTTAGATACCAGATATCTGATTTAAATATTAGATATCCTAGAAATCTAGGAATATTAAGGGTATTAAAGTAAATATTTTGCTCTTAAATATTTCGTCTATAACAAGAAATTTAGGAAGTGAAATATTATAATTCCGGAAGAATCTGAAGTTCGAAAGACTCGATTTAATAATAAAATCGAAGTAGTAATTAAAGAGCTTTAAAGATATATATAGTATATATATTCTAGAAAAAGTATTTTATAGATATGAGTATTATATAAATAGAAAAGATAGTTTCTAAGAAAGTAATCTTAGAGCTAAAAGAAGTTAGTTTTAAAAAATAATAGATAGTTAAATAGATAAATAGATAATTAAATAGCTAATTACTTATTAATTAGTAAGAACTAGAGTCTTCTTCCTTAGGCTACTAGATGCTTTATAGAGTTAATAAGTAATTTCCTCTTTTAATAAAGTAGTTATTAGTCTTTAGTAAGAGCTAGCTATTTTCTTCTTTAGGCTACTAGATGTTTTATAGAATTGGCAGGTAATTTCCTTCTTTAATATAAACTAGATTAATTTTTACTTAAGCTACCGGATACTTTAGCTTAAAAGATTCTATTTTCTAATCTATATATATAAACTAATTAGTATTAGTTTACTAGTAATATATAGTACTATTATATAAGTTATAGAATACTATTTATATATAGTTAGTAAAGTTATTATTTTTTAGAAATAGAAATTATAATATTATAGTATTAATATATAATTCCTAAATCTGCTAAGCCTAAAAGGGTCTAGTCTACTAGTCGAGTTACTAATAGGATATAAGGTTATATAACTATATCCTATATCTTATATTCTATTACCTATATTCTATTATTTATATCCCGTATCCCGTATTCTGTAATTTCTAAAGAAATACCTATACTAATACTAAGATATTTATAAGCTTATTATAAAATATAAAAAGAACTAGTAGCTTTACTAGTTTTATATTAAAGAGCTTATATCTCGATATAATATTTATAAACTCTTTTTTATATAAGGATTTGGTTTTATTAGTAATATTAAAAGTATTATTAATACTTAAATTTATTATTATCTTAATTTATTAATTCTTAATTTATTATATATATTATATTTACTAATAAATCTTTTCTTTATTTATATTTATAATACTTCTATTTATTTCTATATTATATATTTTAAATCTTATATTATATTTATATTATATAAATACTTTTTACTAATATAATAATATTCTAATTATTAGCTATAAACTATTATAAACTAAAAATAATAAGAACTATTTATATATACTAGAGATTAGTCTATTCTCTAATAAATAATATCTCGAGTACTTTAAAATCTATTAAGCTTATAACTTATATATTTATTTATATCTTATTATTAATTACTTATATCTTTTTCCTAAATAGAATTACTTATTATATATTAATAACTAATTTATTACTAATCTTACTAGAACTATTCTATCTAATAAAGAATCTATTATAATAAGTAATAAAAGAAAGTATAATTGCTTTCCGGAAAGCAGAAAAGTAATAAGTAAGAAACTATTTATAAAGAAAGTAATAATTAATAATTTTAATAATTTCTTAGCTAATATCCCGCAAATTAAAGCTAATTTCAAAAGCAAAGCTAAAGAAATTAAAATATCTTCTATAAAGAAT